CTGAATTGGTCGCGAGACTTTGAATAACTCTTTATTGGGTTTAACAAATTATATTCCAATAGGAATACGATATTAAAGGAAATGAATCTGTTCGAAAAGTGTCCTCAGTATAGTAGAAACTGTAGCGGCATGTTTGCGTCAAGATTTTCATCGTTAAAAGCAACTGATTAAGTCAAATACTTCAGACTTCTTTCAGGAAAGGGTGTGCGAATCTGAGGGATGAGCGTTACTTGTGAAACGAGATGTGTTAGAAGGCAATGAATTGCGCCTGCACTTGTGAATATCGGTTAAATGATTAATAAAAGAAGAGAAAAAAGACACACTATAGAATATGGTACTTAACAGAAGGTTTCTTCTTCAGTATCGAACAAACTTAAACGTTATATAGAAGATACAATCATAATGCGATTTTGGGTTGTAATATTTCTGTTGATCAAGTTTTACTGAATTGAAATAAATGACATAGTTTGTAATGTTCCTTTTCTGATCATATTTTGTAGTTTTGCAGGTCACTTCCGTCGAGAATTGTATGAGCCTTCTATACCATTGATAGATGACTGCAAACCTGATCTTTATATTGTCGTACATCTGCAAGTTGTCTGCTGTTGGGTAAAACGCCAGCAATATTGTGCTGTCGATGAACTCGCGGAAAATGAAAATAGACCATACATCTTTGTCTAAGAAATTCATTCTATTCAGCTTTTAAATAAACAAAAATTACTTAAACATAGAAAACAAAAGCAAATCATCGAACATTATAAATCAATAATTTTTGCATCATTTTCTAGTTTCTCGAAGGCATGAATCAATCAAGACAAACTTTATTTCTGTTTGTTACAATAAATAAAAAAAACGTGTATACGCAATAGAGATGTACTGATCATAATTCGTCATGTTCGATTCGAACTGTAACATTGTTTTCCACTTGATTATGCCACCGGTGAACTTTCTCCATGAAACGACCGTCTCTTTCAACATGTAACTTGTTACAGCACTGTTGATACCATTCTTCGATTTCGTTCCATTGCGACACAAAACTTATATGGTATTTGCCCTTACGATATTCGATTGCTCGGCAGGTTAAGTGTGTATTTGTGGCGTATCCATCTTGAATAGCGAAGCTCAAATGTAAGTCATTTGCTTTACCTTCGCCTATAAATCGAAGGACGGACCAGGTTTTTCCAAGTTGCATTTCGATTTCCGAATCATTGAAAACGTCGAGTTTTAGAATCGAGTTTATACGATCAGGATTACAGTCAATAGGTTTTGCCTCACCTTGTCCCATCGGTGATTATCTAAAGCAATAAGACTTATTTCTATCGAATGTACGTGGAAGGTCGAATTCATTTGCAGATGAATCAAATGTCGACAACGAATCTACACACGTTAAAATATCACTATCAAAACACTGCATGTGCGCATAGAAAAAAAAGGTAATAACGATAATAAATAAAGACGCAGAAGTCAGTGATATTTCTACATATTGACTCAACATGTTAGTAAGGTAACCATAAACGACTTGGTATATTTGCGCATTACCTTTGAAATAAAATCAATAAAAAAACCAACGAATCGAGATTGAAGATGACGTTAATCCATCTTTTAATAATTAAAGTTTCTGAAGCTTTTGAACTCGGCGATTGTTAAATTCTGCCACACACGTATTCATCCCTTCATCAAATACGAAACCAGGCGATTGACCGAATCGGATAGCTTCGCCACTGGAAACACCGGTCTCAGCGATGTTTTCACCAATGTTACTATTTGCCACAAAAATTGTATAAGATGAAACGTAAAAGTCGCAGCTATTGTTTTGAATTACTGTTTATCTAGCAAAAGTAAGGTACGCGACCATTATGCACAGATTACGATTAGCGTAAAATTCAGTATTTTGTATTTTGATCTTTTTAGTTCATACGATTGAAAGTAAAAGAAAAGTTTTGGATGATTCATTGCATGTTTGTTTGATAGTATATCTTTCTTTATTATATAGAAGATTTACAATATGTACGGATTTGTATTGCAAATGAAGAAAGAAAAACGAATTTCTTTTCTCTTCCAACACAGTTAGTAGGTTCTTTGTTTGAGAGCGATAGGGTTGCCTATGGTGTTAAACTCACGAATACTTTCACACCCTCAATTTTTCATGGCACTCGTCGACGGACATGGAACATGAAGAGAGCGTTCGCACACGAGCGAACGGACAAGTGGTGGTTATCTAGATGCTACGCAAGTGAGATTTTGACCTAAAAATCTCACTAGAATTTGAAGATGAGACTGATTAGATGGGTGACTGGTGGTAGGCTATTAGAAAAGAACTGCTATTTCTCTATAAATCATTGTTTCTTCTATCCGACACACTTTTTTGAAGTACACATAACTTTCGGATAAAATCCGAAGTTCTCGTATTGTTTTGCTTTCACAGAAATTGAAAGTTGGAAGTTCCCCAGTGATGTTGTTTTTTTGTTTCTCTTCAGTGATCCTTCGGACGCATTGCTGCATTTCTGTTTCTGATCCAGAATTCGTTTTGTGCCTTTCTCAACGGCACAATGCGTTTCAGATAAAAGACACAGACAACTGAACGATAGTTTTGCTTTCGACACCTGACACAAATTGTTACCATTACTTATCTCATTTCTATCGAGAAACGATATCTGATGAGCGGTGGAATCAAGATCGCCTAGTAAAGAGAACTGACTCGAACACTGCAGCGGCAAATGCGAGTACAGGAACGTTGGAAACGACAAGCGGAACGTGAACAAGCTATATTGAAGAGACAACGTGTCGGATTAGAAAACATAGAAACCTGGGAGCAAAAGCATTGGAAAAGTCGACTTAAAAAGGATAAAGACGACGTTGATAGGCGTCCAAATCCAGAACACGTTGTACGAGGCATGAGATCATTCAGATAGCTCTGTGCAGAAGATGTGTGTGAAAAGACTGAAAGTCCGACAAATAGTCTCAAAAGTAGTTCGAGGAGTTCATCACCCGTTCCGACACCTACTTTCCGGAAATCGTTCGATTCGAATCAAATATCCAGGGATAACCTTCACCCTTAGGGCGTCATTCTACATCATCCTGTTGCAAGTAATTATGGCAAAAGAATGTCGAGCAAAGTAAATGGATGCAAGAAGATTTTTGTAGCACGCCAATTCATATCATATTTACAATGACCAAGTGCTCTATTTAACGCAAAGCATGATCGTTGCTATTGCACTTCATGTTATGGATCTGAACGTAATGATGTCTTATTTGCTGGTGGCGCACATTATGTGATACCACGTGGTTGGATACGTTTAGGTGTCTGTGTTCATCAAGTCAAGCAAGAAGTTAACGATATTTAGAATAAATGACTGATGACTTATCACGGTATCCGACAAGAAGCTGCTTTATCAACTCTAACGCAACGTATTTTTAGCATTTCTGGCGGTCAATTACTCGATGGTTCCATCTTACCCATTCGTCCTGTGGTCATATTTCTGGGCAGTATTTCATCTACACATCATCTACCATTGCTTACGCTGATCTTCCTGTTTATGCTCCGTCGTATGATTTCACTTCAAACGAAGTTAATCGATACAAAGTGAAGTTCGCTCTGGTCTGCCGGCAAGATCCAGAATTAATGAACAGTCAAGCGGAAACCATGGACAGTCAATCCAGAAGAATATGTCCCCACATTCCATATTCAGACATCGAATATTTCATTAAAGCACGAGCGTCTTTAGTCACTTATGACTTATTGCTGCATATGAAACCAATAAACTAAATCTTGGGATTTTCTTTTTTTGAACGAAAAAAATCATCTAGAAGTGCATATAGTCACGATTTCATAAGAAAAAATAAACATATCTCCTGCCATCCTCGACACCATCACCCTTTATGATTTTATAGTTTTCAGAAAACAAAATTTTATTCAAATCAAAACACCCGTATTGTCATTGGATTTCGTTGGCATAATCTTCTGGTAGAGATCGACGGCCAGTTGATAAAGTTGAGTTTGGTGTTGGAAATTCTTCAGAGATGGAATGGAATTGAGCAAGAAATGAACGGTAATCATCTTCAGATCGGTCCAATTCACTGTGTTCGAATATTCTCTATCGACAAATTCTTCAAATATCGGAATCAATTCTAAAAGATATGTTTCGATGATTTCCCCGGAAATCAAATGACCCTTATCCGCAAGGATAAAATCATATCCAATCAACGATTGATAAACTTTTCCCAGATCGTAATTAAGATCGCCTTCTAAACTTAATTTAGCACCCAGACAACTACGCATGTCCAAGAATACAATGCGATTTTCTGGTGTAAATACAGCGCTACTGAATATGGGATTTCCATGAATAATCGAACGGTATTGACCACGTTTTGCTGCTGCATATTCGTTTAAATATTTGACGACGTTATCGATGAGCTCTTGCGAACGCATCATCGTCGTTGCTGATTGTCCTTGAAAATGATCGTCGATGCCTTTATACAAATCCAGAGATTGTTCGTGCCGTGTTGAAAGTACTTTAGAATAATTTTCATAGATATTTCCTTTTGCTTTTTCACTATCGGCTGGCAGAGACAGATGAATACGTTTTAGTGATGTGAGAAACTTCAATATTCGTCCATGAGTGATGCATAAATTAGTGAACAGTTGCGAAAAACTAATACCTTCTATCTTTTCCAGAATAATCGAGCCAATATTCGTTTCCGCATTGTGTTCGACTCGATGCAGTTGTGGAAATAAATCTTTAATCGATGTTGGAGCATTTTCATAGAAAAAGATTTCACCTTTCAGATCGTCCATGAACGAACTTTTAATAATTAAATTATCCAAATACTGAATTGTATTTGACTTGGCGGAAGGGTTCACATCGTTCGTTTGATCATCGTCCGGCATCCAACCGATTTCTTTTGCCGTGTCGATCAGCGCATGTACTGCTGCATCGTCAATGTAAATATCTGCATAAGGCTTACCGAAGAACAATTCATCGTAAGGAATGTTGAAGTTTGCCAACGTTTCAATCGTCACTCGTCCGATGTCTGCTATCACGGCACCGACATTTCCTTTATGGGTTTTCATTCGACGAGCTGTTTGAATGATAATATAATGCCCGGCAGCATGCAGTTCTTGAACCAGTCGAATATTTTGTGATTTAGGTAGAACAGTGCTGTAATCGCCATACTTGGTTGGATAAGAAACGAGTGTATTGTCTAAATCGAAACAAAATCGCATCTTTCGAACTTGCACGGGAGTATCTTTGCTTTTCAATCGTTTTAAAAACGTTTTCAATTGATCGGGCGTGCCAACACAAACAAAATCATCGGCTTGCACAGGTAGACCGACGAATGGTTCTTTATCTGTTAACATAAGTTTAATAATATGCGTAGTGTAATATTCTCCGGATTCTCCGACAGCTTCATCCAATAGTTGAATACAGTATTGTTTCATAATCGATGTCGAGCTAAACGCGTAAGCACCTGTGTTTGCATGCGTTGAAATCATGATCTTTTCGGCAACGTCGGTAACAACTGGCGGATGTTCAGGGTCAGATGGCTCGTGTTCGAATTTCAAGTAGGAAAATATCGGTTTACCACCGTGATCTTCGAAGTAGAACGAAGCATTGAGATGAGCGGGTAGTTGACGGAAACGTTCGAGAATTGGTTTGAAATAAATCGTATCACAATCGAGAGAAATCGTCTTTCGTTCTACACGATCATCATCAATCGATTGTAACATGATGAACAAAGTCTCCGCTGCACCACGTGTGTCAAAGTCTAGAACAACTGATTTGAATGTCTGGTTCGGATACTCCACTCGTAATGTTTGTGTCAATGCAAACTGTTTTTCCAATGCTTCTGTAATTCCGAGGTAAATAATATCATCTTCTTTCAGATCCAAATAATCGATTAACCAAAACAACATCGGTCGACCAACGATTTTAATCAACGGTTTCGGAAAACGATAATTCTCTCGAGTAAAACGTTGACCAAGACCGCCCATCGGAATTAGAATATTCATATTTAACCTTGTCTAACGAATCGAACGGGATTTTTTTGTACGTATATTTGCCTTACCTTGGTGAAGCACTCGTTTGAAGAAAGATATTCGACGTGTCGTGTAATAGTACAGGTAAGTTTCGGATGAATGAAAGCGTATAAAATCAAACGTTCTTTTTCAGTTTTATCTTCATATCATACTTTTTCTTACGATTCAATGCACATGCATGACTTTGTTGGAACGGACGAACGAGCGATAGTCATGAATAACCATAATCAATCGCCATTTTGTGATAGATCAAATTCTCGTTATCATAACTGGATGGATTCGGCTTTGTCGAAGCCAAAACAATAATCGATTTTTGACCTGTCGACGAAACCGACGAGATGATATTAAAAACATGTAGAAATTTCCCTAAATGAAAAAAAAAGAAAAGGACATTAATAAGAAAACTATGTAATATAAACTTACGACGTAGTTGGCGTAAACTATCAAACTAAACATCGACGACGCAAATGATTCTTTCAACAATCGATCGGAATCTTTACCAATCGAGGATGTTAGCAAATTATAAACATTATTGACACCGTATGGACCGATTGTAATGACGATAAGCACGATTTGAATCAACGTCATTCGTACTAATTGATAATCAGCCAGTTGGTTGACCAGTACTCTCGTCAATCGAATATTTCGATATGTTAAATAACCACAAATAGTCATGATTCCAATTGGAATCGTACAAGTTAAACTTAGAACATATACTGGAGCATAAATACCATATGAGGTGTTGATAATCGTACATGTTTGTGTCGTTGGTGAGATGTCATAGAAGAATACATGCGGAATGCAATATAAACACCAGATCATGACGAATATCAACATGATTCGACGTGTGAATTTGATATTGCTGAAACGACGAAGAGTTGCATTGCGTGAGGTGACGAAAACTTGATCGATCGATGCTAAACATGTATAAGTGAATGATATCAGGGTGGTGACACCGGTGAGATACGCGCGAAATTTGCACCAGAACGGCGTTGTACTTGTTAAATCTATGTAATAGCCGGCGATGAATATACGAGAAATAAGACTGATTATTAGAATGAGAATATTAACGATGGAAACGAAAAGAAAAGAAAATGTGCAAGGAGTTCTACGATAATTAGGAATGCTGGTAAATATAAAAATATTCATACTGTTTCCAATCACTCCTGTAATGACGAAAAACCAGCCGACAAAGATCGTAATTTGTTGACTAACATACGCTAAGGACATTTCTTTCGGTTGAAATAGTATATAAAATGTGATATAATGATAGAGATCCTTTTTATTCATATGAGGGTCGACTGCAAAATTAAATGCGTTTATTAATCTTTTTTTTTAATTCTTAACAGTTCATCCAGAACGTAAAAGCCTCTCTCTGTATTATTAATGCTGCAAGTCATTGTATCCTTCGAGATGGACCTTTTAAAAAGCTATAAAAAACAAGAATATAGAGTTTATCTACCATTACTGGCTATTATCGTCACTGCTTTCTTCTTGATTATTCATCCGTAGAAATATGTCCTTCTTTAGATCGAAAGATAGCATATCTATGTCAATATTTTCAATTCCATAGTATAAATCAGTTAAAACACTATGTGCTCCTGTGCCATCATGAAGATTAAATCTGATGATATTTTTCATAATAACAGTTGTATTAGTATACAACAGATAATCAAAGTCGGCTTTTCCACTGGTACTATGAAACATTCCGGCACGTAACCTCAATACTGAATGAAGCGTAGTTCCATTTTGTATGTCATATTCGTCTAGTGCTACGTCATCTTTCAGTTGATGAGGACGAATAGTTTCTTTATTCTGAAATCGAAATGAGCTCGGCATGGCTGAGATCGTTTTAATAGTAGCTTTTAAGTGGAAGAAAAAAGGTAGACTTATGGTGATGAATAAAATATTACGTATGCAACATGTTATCGTACATACCACCATACTGTTGATAAATACTCATGGACTATTGATAACCACTAGAGTGAGTCATTCAGAAAGGGATTTTCTAATGACGAATGTGGCAAGTGAAAGTGGCATGTCTCTGCTTCACATAGATTGTGCCAGACGTGAATCGTTTACAATTGCTTATATGGCAATAGCGAAGCATAAGAAGAACGAAGTTAATAGATAAAATACGATAGTGGTGATGACTTTGTATATATAACATTTACAGATGAACTCGATATCAAATTATCTTGCAGTAAGTTCTAAAAATAGTAATGTCGACCTATGACATTTTCAACTCAAAGACTAAAAAACATACTATTTTATAGAACTAGCCATAAGCTATCACCTCTACACACATGATAAATGACTTACATGACAAGATGTACAAACAGCGGGAAAACGAACGGACATTTTGTCTCAATCATACCAATCGACATATTTCAAAGTTTATTGTAAATGAAACAAGGATCATATGTCAACCAATCGAAATATTGAACTTTAAGGAAAAACATTAGAATTAATCCATTGATTTCAAAACACATCGGCATACCGTCCTGAAATATTATAAAAACATATTCTAAAGTATCATGTGATCGATTTCACAATAAATGACTCACTTGCGAGCGCTTTAACAAATTCTTTTTGTTCGTAACACTCGTTGAGGATATAGATCTGAATTAAACTTATACTCTGTGTATAAACTAAGTAGCCGTTCAGTTGATCATGAAGAACTGTATTCCTAACAAAATTTTTATTGACGCTAAAAGGTTTCTGTAAATGAATTTATATTTTAAAGGATACAAAGAAAGAGTTCAATGTTCACGTTTGAATTTGTTTTTGTTGTTCTAAGTGTTGTCGAATCTTTCCGTATGCCACAATACCACGAAGCCACATACAGATACCGTAGCATGCCAATGATGTGCTTTTTACACGATCTAATTGGCATTCGTCCCGATTGAGCAATACTTCCAATCGCGCAAGTGTCATATCGCTTATATTATTGATATCAAATTCTAACAGTCGGCTCAAAAAATGATCGTTCATTAAACTCTTCGCATCACTCCATTCAAATTTCGTTTTTGACGGCTGGAACAGTATACCTATACCTTCGAATACTGTCTCACACACTTTAGGTGGTCGAGCAAATGATCGTATTTCAGTAATTGACGCTTTGGTTAGGACATTTAGTCCAGCTTTTGCAGCTAAAGATAAGAAAATAGGCAGTGTAATGAGAGAGAATAACATGTTCTAGGTGAACGTTCATACCTTCTAAAGCAGCGAGTGTTGTTTCTTCATCTGTACTGGTTGATGTCATCGTTTTGTTGTGCTGTGCGATTGAAAGAGTTATACTTAAATATAAAGTTTGTGATTCATACTGACGCGATCGTCAGCATTGCTCATGATGAAAGAACAAATATTCGCATTCATGAGTCATAACAAACAAAACACGGCACATGTGTTTTATGGTGAATCTTGAGATTGAAAGTAGTAGGATATATTGCACACGAATTCGCACAAACGTGCAAAGCACAACGAAAGAGACAAAAATGCATAAGTAAAAATTAGTAAACAACAAAAACGAGCTTGGTTCTTCACTTTCAACTGTCATTTCAGCACTCTTTCCACATTCATCTCGCATCCTCACCACCATAAATGAACAGCGCCGATGTCTTGCGTCATATAATCAATAGGTATCACTTGCGACTGAACTAGATTTTTCACCTTCTCAAACACAGAAGTGTTACGAATGTAAAATGATAACAAATGCAAATATGGTGTTTTCTCGGCGACATTTGATAATATATATTCGATAGTTTCTAACGAATAATTGTTCGGTGATGACACGGTCAAACGCTCGACTCGGGGGAAAAGATGCACCCAAAGCTTCATATCTTCAAATGAACACGTCTGAATTGAAATTGTCACATCTTTGATTTGATTTTTAGTAAACACTGGAATGAGCATCTCATTCGGCTTCAAGAAGCTCGCGTTTGTCTCATTGAAACCAGTGTGATAAAGATAGACTTTCTCAAGATTGGGTAGAGAAAGAATCAATTCGGTTAAATCTTTTAAATAACAATAAGAAATGTAAGTCTTCAGTTGTCTGATTCGTTCCATATGAAGAAAATTTGTGAGAAAACTTGGCGAGATATATATCCCATCTTCAAACGGATTTTCTTGCTCAAAACTAAGTTGTGTGACGTTTGGAAAAGATTTTGTCCCATTGGCAAATTTGTTCTCGTTTTGCAGCACAAGATGTTGTACTGATCGCATTTCCGTCTCTTCTCGCGCAGTTGAACCAGTTACTTTTCGTAGTTCCAAATTTAATGTAAATTTCCTTTTCCTTAAAAATCAAAATTTTGTCGATTCAAGTACAGTAATTAATCGATCAAGTCATACCTATACGGATTTGTTGAATATATGTATATTTCACAGCTATTCTCCACTTCCTTACTATGATAAGCAAAAAACCATTGTCGTTCCAACCAGAATGTGGATTGAAATTTCTCCATTAGTGGCAAATATATCGTTCCATAGATTGTATTTGTAAAAATATGTTGTTGGAGGTCGAATATTCTTAGATGTGGCATATAGGATGGTATAAGTGATTCCCATCGATGTGCGTCCAAATAGGATTGATCTGCTGGTGTTCTAAGGTGTAACACTTGTACATGGTGGAAAATGAATTTAATCACAGGCTCGAAATCGTCGAAATAAACATCTCCAAGATTCAAATAGACATGCGTTAGTTGGTTTGGAATGATTGAAGAAATTCTTCGTGAAGTATAAAGTTTTGATAGTTTGCGAATGGATAAATGATGGAGTTGGGGAACATTTGAGAGAAGAGGAACGATGTCGTCAAGGCAAAACTCTTCGGCAACAATTAAATGTGTGAGAGAACTAAATATGTTTGTTGCAAAAGGTATACGCTCCAAATAATGATATTTGTGTAAGGAGAATTTACAATATTTCAACGAAGGCAGGCGAAATATTTGCTCGTATAAGTAATTTCGGTTACGAAGACAAGTTTCGAAAGCAAAGATTAGTGAAGAGAGATGGGGTAAGGTCAATAGATTACTGAAAAGCTGGTCTATAGCAGTCGATGGAAGGGAAGTGATAACAAATATTTGAAGATGAATAAATTTTGGAATAATAGAAAGAGATGAGAGAAATAAGTTGATGATAAATTGATTGGAGAGATGAAGGGATTGAATTCGATGTGCATTTGGAAGAATAATGTGTTCGTAATATGCTGTAAAAGTTGGTTTTGATATTGCATTAAGATGCATTTTGATTGGTGAAATCGAATGAGTGAACAGATTTTGAAAACGTTGATTGAGACGCGAAAAAATTCCAGAAGACTGGAAATAATCGAGATATTCGAAGATTTCATAGAATACTTCATTGGCGAGATCTTCGAGTTTCGCTTTTCCAACCATAATATCGATGTGAACTAACATGAAAAATAACTTGGTAAATACCAGCAAGAATACTGCTCCTGTATGTGCGCGTAAAAACAAATATTTGCCCTTTTTTCCTTACTTCTACTTGCGCCATTCGGACGGCAGTCTGCAATCTTCTCTTTTGCTGTTCTGTTGAAAATATATGACTCCCCTCGAGAGAACAGGTGTAAAATTGCAAAGGTGTAAGAGATTCGTTAATACATGATACATAGATTCAACTTCATCTCTTTGTCTATCGTGGATGATGTACAGAGTTTCTATGGAAGTACACTCTCTTGATAAATTGAACTTTTAGGTAATGGCTCAAAGCAAATTTAGTAACTCATCAAGGACATAAAAAGCTTATTTCTATATTATTAATGCTGCAAGTCATTGTATCCTTCGAGATGGATCTTTAAATAAGTTACAAAAAACAAGAATATAGAGTTTATCTATCATTACTGGCTATCATCGTCACTGCTTTCTTCTTGATTATTCATCCGTAGAAATATGTCGTCCTTTAGATCGGAAGATGGCATATGTATGTCAATCTTTTCAATTCCATAGTATAAATCAGCTAAAACACTATGTGCCTGTTCAATGAAATCTTGCAACTTCGTCGATGACAGACAATATGCTTGTTTCGTATCGTTACGGTGAAATTTGAAAATGTTTTTAACGACAGTTGTATTAGTATACAATAGATAATCAAAGTCCGCTCTTCCACTGGTACTATGAAACATTCCGCCACGTAGTCTTAGTACTAGGTGAAGTGTTGTCCCATTTTGTATGTCATATTCGCCTAGTGTTGCACCATCTTCCAACTGAACACCCGCAAGGATTAAACGCTGCTGATCGGGAGGAATACCTTCTTTATCCTGTATTTTTTCTTTCAAATTCTGCACAGTATCTGATTGACAAACAGACAAATAAATCACAAGTTGAGTGAGCGTTTTCACACATATATCAAAATTAGCATTGACGTCCAGATTCTAAAAGTATAAATGAAGGAAATTTATGCAAATGAACACTACCTTACCTGTTCGGAGACAATATTAGCCATGATGGCTGCATCTTCATCGTATAATCGATACGACATAACTGTTTCATTTACATGTAGGTGTGTGGCATTGAGCCAACTCTCTCGATATGGTTGTGCGAGCTGTGGCGCTCTACATAATCTGATTTCGATATTTTTCACGCTTAATCTTTGAAGTATTTTTGATTTGATAGTTTCGATTGTATCCATTAACCGAACCGAGATTGTAAGCTGCCTGAGTCGAGCAGATTCATACTTCCCGAGCCACACAGTCACTGAGCCATATGCAATGAACTGAAAGTGGGCATCAAAATGAGAAACAGGTGAGTTTAGTTGAGCATCAGTCAACGATGAGAGCGTATTTCCTCTCATTATACCAACTTGAGCCCATTTTTGTAGATACTTGGGTACATAATTTTTCTTGAAGTGCTTGATGACTTTACTGATCAAATCATGATCGAAAAACTTTTCAGTGAGATGGTGTCCATAAGGGTCTATGAATGTAAATGAACGAGATTTCAACCGATCCTTGACATGACTGTTTTCTTGACAACGACGATTAAGCAAATTTTCGAACTAAGTTGCTTGATTTTGAATGGCCTGTACTTTAGAAACTAAGTTTTCAAATGTGAATGAAGTAATACTAGCGGCAGCCATTCTGGGAGAGATGTGTAGAGTTATTCGTCTAAATTAAATGTAGCGCAAAAAAGCATGATTTTATAGGGCTTCTATATTGGAAAAAACCAGCTAACAAAAGTCAATAGTATGAATCATTCTTAAGTAGTTTTTTTTGCGCAACCGTGTCGAAAATTTTTAAAAATGTACACAACACCTGCTGCTTTATTTTCTGTATCTTAAAAATACGCCGTCTTTTGAAGTTGAAAATCCTTTTCAACTCACAGAGTGAAACAATTTCCAGATATTTATTTTGTTTTCAGTAGGCAGTACATCGAGAATACCATCCGACTCTGATCATGTGCGAATAGCTATACTGCCGTACAGATCTGTTCTCTAGAACCATGCTTTGATATCAACATAATCTGTCTACCATCTAGAATATAAATCATTGAATTAAATGAATGATCCTTGTTGTTTAGTTGAAAATATCCTCGATGGTTTATTTCTTATTGATAATCTGTTATAATTGAATTTGAATAAAAATTCCAAATGAATATGCAAAACGAGCGACGCGATTATTTTTTCTCTGCGAACAAGAAAATGGCTGGTATTAATGCCAACGATACGATTAACAGAACAAAGAGTAAAAATACAATGAATGACGTCGGTGGGAAAGATAATATTTCTATCTATAGTAACTAAATACGAACAACGAAAAATCGGTGATTTGCGTTGTTGGGAAAAATACCAATTTCAATCTATATTATATAAACGAATGTTTCTCTACTGGAAATCTTTCATTTCGAACAACAAATGGAGCAAATAATCATCGAATTGTTGGATGTCAAAGTCCTTATCTTAATTTTAACCACAATCGTTTTCATTGTATTTATAATCAAATCTTATCGATATTATTCTTATCCTTCGTATTTGAATATTCATCAATTTCATCGATTGTACTGTCAACGAATTGATGATAAGGAGAAATGCCCATTCATCCCTATTGATATGTTTCATAGGTGTGAAAATACTCATCAATATCATACGAAGTCTGATCTTGATTGTGTGTTAATCTATGAATATATCCAAGATTTTCTTTGTCAAAATAATGAATATATAAATCGATCAGGACCAGTCTGCCCGTTTGTGCCAGTAGCATTCAAACAAAAGACGATTTATTTTTTCATTTCAAATGATGAATACACGAACAAGACACGATTTATCCAAATGATCGAACAGTGTAAAAACGATTTTCTCTGTAAATTACAACCAGTTAATGCTACAAAAAGCAAATTGGTTTATAAATGTCTGCTTATTTTGATCCGTTCGTTGAATATTCCGCATAACTTAATCGATGAAATTCAAACAGAACTTAAACCGACTTTCATCATTCAACATGGTCTTATGTTCGGTGAATTTCATCAATCATCTAATTCTAACGCAATCCGGAATGAGAATTTTTATCCATTTCGAACGAGAACGCCTTTATTGGTGATTCGATATATGGTTGCTAATGATCTTATCTTTCTCAATCAAAAACACAAATATTCCGTGGATGTTCGTTTGCAAATGATCAACAAATATCTAAATTTATACCATTCAGGTTTATTATATCGCTCGAAAGTAGAGCATTTACAAAGTGCTCATGACATTCTTGCAGAATTGAATTTTTCAGTAAAAGAATCCATTGTTCCTATTACTGATATACATCTAAACTGAATGTTGATACATTTATCTGTATACTATATATTCAATAAACTCTCATAGATATCCATAGAGGTTAGAAAGTTTCAGGTGAAGATGTAATAAAAGAACTGAAAACTATAATTTTCGTTTTATTTTTTCGACATTTTTTATATAGAGTTGCATCTGAGGATCGTTTGATGAGAGTAGCTGTTGGCTAAGTTGTACGGCATGTGTACATAGTGAAAAAGCTTGTGCATTTTCATGCGTACCATAATACACCATCCCACTGTTGTTGAGGTATAAGAGCTTTTCTGTACCATGAAAGTACTTCAGAATAATTATATAGATTTCTTATGTATTTGATAATGCTGCAACTGTGATATTTGCTGTTCTGATGTCTTTATGGGCGAGGTAGGTAGAAGGAGTGAGAAGAAGAGTGTATCCAATTCATGAAACTTGATAGATGGTTTGTGGAATTCTGGAAACGCCGACAATCAGTTTTGCAATATGATTGGGTAGGAAAAGAAAAATAGAAGTGGAAGATTCACATTTTGTTTGGTTTGAAATAAGAGCGAAGGAAAAGGGTGAAAGATGAGTCAATCCAGTTACTGGAGTATGTACTTTTTCCATTCAATTATTCTTTTTCTCATCGGAAAAACATTCGTTTAGATCAAAGAACCGTATATTTCTACTAAAAAACGAATGCCTTTCTTTTTCATTGCATTTGCTGTTGTTCTATTGATGGTAATTGTTTGCGTAATTGTGTTTGCAACAATTGTCTATCGTGTGAAACTAGATTTTATTTTGAAAAAGATTCCAATCTAAGTTCACGTTCATCCATCATTGTCACTATGACAAGTACAATCATGAATTTGATATGTCACAATTTTATTATTGGACTACAAGGAAATTAACTGATCGTAGTAAAAGTAGATTTATCATTCTCTTTTTCTAAGTAGTAGAAGTCCTTGCAAAACTTCATAAGTATCAATCGAAATACGATGATTCATCAACAATCAAAACTATCATCCCTTTCAATTCGTTAACTTTTATCGTTCATTGTTCTATTTGGCGATTTTTAAAGAAAGGTTTATACTAAAGGACAACTGCGTCCATGAACAAGGAACGTTCTTACTGATTTCTACTTCTCATTTATTCGTTTATTGATATCAATTCTCTCCTTTATGTGCACCTTTCTTTCATACGTCACTTTTCGTGCCCATTGCTCTTGTTCATGAACGGAAAAAAAGGTTATGAACATGCGTACTGAATTAGTAGAACTTACTAATCATCTATTTAAGCTTTCTCCTCTACTGATTCAGTCAAAAGGGATGATCATTTTCAAAAATTCTTACCACCGTTAGCTATGGTCATCGAATCGAAGGACGAGTTTCGTTGGGCGAGATTTTCTTCGCGTTTACCGTCCAAATTCGTCGTCGTCGGTGAAGAACGAGAAGAAGAACGTGGGAGAGAAAAATATTCAGAAAAATCTTTGTCGAACGAGGCAAAAGCTCCGTNAAAATTCTTACCACCGTTAGCTATGGTCATCGAATCGAAGGACGAGTTTCGTTGGGCGAGATTTTCTTCGCGTTTACCGTCCAAATTCGTCGTCGTCGGTGAAGAACGAGAAGAAGAACGTGGGAGAGAAAAATATTCAGAAAAATCTTTGTCGAACGAGGCAAAAGCTCCGTTCATCTTCTTCGTCTTCAAGTTCGTGTTGGAAAAAAGTCATCAGATTTCGGCACCTTCATTTTTGGTTAATTGACGGAAAAAGATGAAATTTGATTGCACTACAGCATCTTCCAGAAAATTCAGATTTGCAACAGTTTCTCCTTGAAATATAACTATCCATTCACGCAGTTCCACATTGATCATAATACCGCAATTTTCCAGCACGGAAATTGAGTGAGGATTTCTTATACGAATGTCCGTATAGTGGAATTACTTGGCAGTACTTTTCATATTAAGTATTATATGTGGTTTTATTCTTCTTGGATTTGGTAGTGCATGATGGAGGCGATATCGAACAAAGAGAACCAATAAAAAGTCGCAGCTTTTATAGAGAAAATATAAATTCTGTTTATTCTCCAATAACAACAATGAATGAATTTGATATGAATTAAATTAAAAGATTTCATTTTCACTCAAATTAGTCTTCTCTTCTATATGATTTCAATCATTCTTTAACGTGCATATCTGGCAATAATCATATTTCAAGATGGTTATGAAATATATATGAAATCTTGCATAATACTTTCACATGACTCACATTTGCTTGGAATGATAAAAGAAAGAAGTTTTTGAAATTCAGTTGAAATTTATTTTTTTCATGGATACTACAAGTTTCAATCATGCAATCTTTAAACGTAAAGTGGGATTACTTATTGGAAATCAAAATTATCGTGCACACGAAGATCAACTTTTCCATACGATCAATGATGTCAATGATATTAGTCATACTTTACGAACTATGAATTTTCATGTGAGAAAACATTATGATTTATGTAATTCAGAAATGAAGAATGTTTTTTCTGAGTTTTCAAAAACAATACGCAATGGCGATTTGATTATATTCTATTTTTCTGGTCATGGTTGTGAAATGAATGGAAAGAATTATTTATTACCGATTGATGATGAATTGATTGCAAAGGAACAAGGCATTGAAGATTCTGTCATTCATACTGAGCAGATTCTTTGTGAATGGTCACAACAATTTCCATCGTCTATTATCATATTTATATTAGATTGTTGTCGATTACCATATTCCCACCGACATAGACAAAGACGAAATAACGGTAGGAAATATAAATGAGTAATGTCTCTTGTACATACAATATGTGTTTAGTTAAATACGAAAATAATGCTTCAGAAGATACAAAAGTACCAAGAGGTACATATGTTGTATTCGCTTGTAGTCAATATCAAATTGCTTCTGATGGTTTACTGACTGAAAGAAATGGATTGTATGCGAAACATTTGTTACAACATCTGACAAAACCAAATAAAGATTTACGACAATTATTTCGAAGTGTAAACAATGGTGTTTGTATTGAAAGTAAACAAAGGCAAAAACCAACACGTCATGATGGTCTAATCGATTTTGAACCAATTTATTTAATTGATAGGCCATCGAATTCAAATGATGGCAAAAAGAAAACGAAGGTCGAAGAAAGATTACTTGTAAAATAAACAGAACAGAATAAGCGTGACAAATATTTATTGAGTAATTGCATTGATTACAAAATTATCTGTTTTGTTTCATATATTATTCGATTGATTTGACGCGATATGTTTTATTTGGATTGGTTGAATACGAGTATTCCATGATCTCTTAAGATTGAAACAGGCTAAAACACGTTCACACAAGATTTGACGGAAGAGCTTGCTTGTCAGTGTATTGAAGAAGAAACTCTTAGCGAAATTTAAATAGAAAATTAAGCTCGATACTTGTAAGAGCAATGACTCAAGAGCAAGTCGTTGATTGTCTTTGACGAGATTCGTTGAGAGTATTGAGTATGAAGCGTATGCTGTCCGAATATTGAGTAAAATGGAACTGGTCAACACTTGAACGAGCACAATGGTAATGAAATGAGTATCGATTCTATTTCGTAATTGATTCCGTTGTTGTGCACCTTGAACGATCAAACGTCGACGACTTGCTCGCATATTGTAGAACGTGACAAGACCAAATGTGAGCATGATACTTTGTGGAACTAAACTTGTCCAGACAATATTGTAGACTGACATAAAAATTGAGTAGTTCCCGGGTAGTGGTGCACATTTCGGTCGTAAATCATAATAATAGAGCTGATGTGCAGTAGTAAAGATGTAAAGAAGAATCCGCGCACATGTCAAACGATGTGCTACTTTTATTTGACTAAACGAACGAAGACGTGTACTTTGTGATGTTGCTAAGCATCGATCAAGTGCAGCGAATACCAAATAACCGAGGGAAATAGATGGTAATGTAAATCCAATAAAAGTACGCATTTTGCAGTAAAGAGACGACGTAAGAATCAAAGTGTTACCAAAATAATCACTCGCCATTCTCGTCGGCAAAAGAGAATTGAAAAAGAAAAAATCTGCTATAGTTGACATGAGGAAATACCAACCACATGAATTTTCTCTCATTTGTTTAGATGAGAATGTTATAAAATTGCATAAGCATCCTATATTGCCAAGAATGAGTAAAATAAAACTGCCGTACAGTGCTAAATCGCTTGTTATTCGATTAATATATCCAACGTCCATGATTTTTATCTGTATGAGGAAAATAATGGATATAGAATGAGAAAAATCAAATTATAAAATATTCGCGAAGAAAAAGAGTATATATTCTACTTTGAGTCAATGAGTACTTTGACATTTGGTAATAAAGAATTTTTCTTTGGGAATTTTCCGTTCTCACGTACTTAAATAAGATGTTAACTATTAAACTATCTATATGAATTGTTTATTATTATTAGAGTGGTGTCGAGTATCGACATATTCATTCTAAAATCATATATTCTAGACAATGTATGACTTTCTCAACTCTCAAACAGAAAATATCAACTCTGCCATTATCTGCATCCTCGAAAGAAATCTTTTCATCTTTTTTTTATACGCAGGAAAATACACCCTGTCACAGTTCCATTAATTCTTCAAAGGATCGTTTTGATAATTTCTTTCATTATCATCACAGCGTGAGAATATCAAAATAAATTATTTTCAATAGTTTTGCGATTAGAAAATATATACTTCTATACATGATTTTTCTTTAGGAAAAAAAATAATGCATTCTATTTCAAAGTGCTTCATAATTGATTGTACCGATATGATGTGATAATCATGATTCTAATCAGTTTAGAAAGATTTATTTAGCCGAGATAAATGTACACATCTATTCAAAAGAACGGCGTGTGTCATTGTTGATACAGAAGCAAACAAAGTGTCGGCAACTGTCGTATGTGATATAATCATGAATGTGAGTTTATATTTAGTAAATCAATCTTCAAATTATTCTGCCACATTACATGATGTTCTGTAGATGGAAGAAAGAATTATATGAAAGAAAAAAATATGCTTGTTTGTATAACATTGATTCAAACAATAAAAGAATCATGATTCAGCGAAACTTTAGGTGATGAATAAATTTAACTGTACTATTGTTTAGTTTTATCAGCACTGGCAAGTTTTATATTCGTCACCATCGTTCTAGAACTAAATCAGAGAGAGAATGAGAAAGATGTTTCTAGCAAATGATAATTGATCTAATCACACTTTTACTTCTTTCTTTAAACTCGATTCGTATCTGTTAGTTATTAAAATAGTATAGAGCAGATTTTTAGGCTGAATTGCATACAGAAGAAATGCCAAATTTACTACGACTCAGTGACCCATGTTTTATTTTCCATACAAAACATTCTAATTTTAGATAAAAAACTATCCAGATACTTCTTTCCTATCTATCAAGGGATCGTTTCAAACGAAAAAGAGAAACGTTTTTCATAATATATTATTTCCTATTAAAATCTCTACCAGATAGTTGAGAAACAATCAAAAGAATAAATATAAAAATTAAATACCAATCATATTATACAGAGAAAAAAATAAATAACGCTCGCCGAGGCAGACTCGCTTTACCCTCGACTGATTTTTTAAAAATAAACGTCATATAGTTGTAACGACAAACTGGTTGAGTAGCTGACCGCTTCTCACGGTATCGATGTTTATTGACTACTCTACATGACCAGAATGTATCCACTTCACAATAAGACACACGCTTATATAGAAAGAGAAAGGGAAAGAAGAAAACAGAGAAGAACAAGAGGATACGCATGATTAGGAGAGATGATCATATATTGATATCGCCCCAGGGGGTAATATCTTTATCGTCACACCCTCTCACTCAGATTAGACGCACTCCTGGGCGTCTTTACATCGGACAACATCATAATCGAAAACAAATAACAATATCAGGAGAAGAAAAGAAGAAAAAATAATGAAAATCGTAACGATAATATAAAGTGTGGAATGGAAGTTGCACATACAGACGAATTTCAAATTATCAAACTTATCCGCCACAAGTATTAAGCAAATCGTTACGAGCACAATATTTAACATGACTTAACATTCGTCTTTGACTCGCGTTAGAACACACTGACAATTCTTCTTTAAAGCAATACGCCGACAGTAACAGAAGCATAACATTAATTAATTGACACGAGTATACATTTTTCGACATGACATGGAGCTTTTCATGGTATTTCACACCACAACGACAAAAATTATTTCATATAAGAATCAATACTTTGAAATTTAATTGTCATCAATTTCTTTTGATGCCCAATGATAATTCTTCCACCAATACAGTATTTAAAAATATTCAAACGACGATTTGTATCATTGACTTTATCACCAACATAACATAAATAATCATTAAATAACAAGTATTCATTTCACATTTCCTAATCAACTAATTCATATATTTTTAAATATAATTTTTCCTTGTCATAAAGGGAATTTAGTCTAGTGCATAGTAAACGATACTTAGAGCAATCCCTAATGATATGTATCATTTTGATTTAATCCATCTTTCTATCTAAGGAAGATGACAGAGTGTTAAGCCATTTCACACAGATAAACTTAAAATTTGATCGATTGTCCGTCATTGACTTGATCATTTCGGATAAAGTGTAGCTGCTGATAAAGATGATAATAACAACTGACCATTTCATTGATAGATAATGATTGATGATTGTTTACGGCCGATAATAATCACATTCATTATCATCGATGATAATTTTTGTTTGATGAACCGAACCAAAATAAGAACGTAGNTATCATCTTCTTTCAGATCCAAATAATCGATTAACCAAAACAACATCGGTCGACCAACGATTTTAATCAACGGTTTCGGAAAACGATAATTCTCTCGAGTAAAACGTTGACCAAGACCGCCCATCGGAATTAGAATATTCATATTTAACCTTGTCTAACGAATCGAACGGGATTTTTTTGTACGTATATTTGCCTTACCTTGGTGAAGCACTCGTTTGAAGGAAGATACTCGATGTGTCGTGTAATAGTACAGGTAGGTTTCGGATGAATGAAAGCGTATAAAATCAAACGTTCTTTTTCAGTTTTATCTTCATATCATAATTTTTCTTACGATTGAATGCACATGCATGACTTTATTGGAACGGACGAACGAGCGATAGTCATGAATAACAAATCGATCGTCATTTTGTGATAGATCAAATTCTCGTTGTCATAACTGGATGGATTTGGCCTTGCCTAAGCCAAAACAATAATCGATTTTTGACCTGTCGACGAAATCGACGAGATGATAATAAAAACATGTAGAAATTTCCCTAGACGAAAAAAGAAAAGGACATTAATAATAAAACTATGCAATATAAACTTACGACGTAGTTGGCGTAAACTATCAAACTAAACATCGACGACGCAAATGATTCTTTCAACAATCGATTGGAATCTTTACCAATCGAGGATGTTAACAAATTATAAACATTATTGACACCGTATGGACCGATTGTAAAGACGATAAGCACGATTTGAATCAATGTCATTCGTACTAATTGATAATCCGCCAATTGGTTGACCAGTATTCTCGTCAATCGAATATTTCGATACGTTAAATAACCACAAACAATCATGATTCCAATTGGAATCGTACAAGTTAAACTTAGAACATATACTGGAGCATAAATGCCATATGAAGTGTTGATAATCGTGCATGTTTGCGTCGTTGGTGAGATGTCATAGAAGAATACATGTGGAATGCAATACAAACACCAGATTATGACGAATATCAACATGATTCGACGTGTGAATTTGATATTGCTGAAACGACGAAGAGTTGCACTGCGTGAAGTGACGAAAACTTGATCGATCGATGCTAAACATGTATAAGTGAATGACATCAGAGTGGTGACCGCGGTAAGATATGCGCGAAATTTGCACCAGAACGGCGTTGTACGTGTTAAATCTATGTAATAGCCGGCGATGAAGATGCGAGAAATAAGACTGATTATTATAATGAGAATATTAACGATGGAAACGAAAAGAAAAGAAAATGTGCAAGGAGTTGTACGATAATTAGGTATGCTTGTAAATATTAAAATATTCAGACTGTTTCCAATCACTCCTGTGATGACGAAAAACCAGCCGACAAAAATCGTAATTTGTTGACTAACATACGCTAAGGACATTTCTTTCGGTTGAAATAGTATATAAAATGTGAGATATGATAGAGATCCTTTTTATTCATATGAGGATCGACTGCAATATTATATGCGTTTTTTAATCATTTTTTTATTCTTAACAGTTCATCCAGAACGTAAAAAGCCTGTCTCTGTATTATTAATGCTGCAAGTCATTGTATCCTTCGAGATGGATCTTTAAAAAAGCTATAAAAAAAACAAGAGTATAGAGTTTATCTATCATTACTGGCTATTATCGTCACTGCTTTCTTCTTGATTTTTCATCCGTGGAAATATGTCGTTCTTTAGATCAGAAGCTAGCATATCTATGTCAATATTTTCAATTCCGTAGTATAAATCAGCTAAAACACTATGTGCTCCTTTTGGCATCAACATCAAATGTGAAGATATTTTTCATAACAGTTGTACTAGTTTACAACAGATAATCGAAGTCGGCTTTTCCACTAGTACCGTGAAACATTCCGTCACGTAATCTCAATACTGAATGAAGCGTAGTTCCATTTTGTATGGTATATTCGTCTAGTGCTACGTCATTTTTCAGTTGATAAGGACGAATAATCTCTTTATTGTGAAATCGAAATGGGCCCGACATGACTGAGATCGTTTAAATAGTAGCTTTTAAGTGGAAGAAAAAAGATAGACTTATGGTGATGAATAAAATATTACGTATGCAACATGTTATCGTACATACCGCCCTTGTTGATAAATACTCATGGAATATTGATTACCACTAGAGTGAGTCATTCAGAATGGGATTTTCTAATGACGAATGTAGCACGTGACAGTGGCACGTGTCCTCTTCACATAGATTGTGCTAGACGTGAATCATTTACAATTACTTATATGGCAATAACGAAGCATCAGGAGAAAGAAGTTAATAGATAAAGCACGATAGCAATGATGACTCTGTGTATTACTATTTTATAGAACTAGCCATAAGCTATCACCTCTACACACATGATAAATGACTTACATGACAAGATGTACAAACAGCGGGAAAATGAACGGACATTTTGTCTTAATCATACCAATCGGCATATTTCAAAGTTTATTCTAAATGAAACAAGGATCATGTGTCAACCAATCGAAATATGGAACTTTAAGGAAAAACATTAGAAATAATTCATCGATTTCAAGACACGTTGGCATATCGTCCGCAAATATTAAAACATATTCTAAAGTATCATGTGATCGATTTCACAATAAATGACTCACTTGCGATCGCTTTAACAAATTCTTTTTGTTCGTAACATTCGTTGAGGATATAGATCTGGATTAAACTTATACTCTGTGTATAAACTAAGTAGCCGTTCAGTTGATCATGAAGAACTGTATTCGTAATAAAAACATTTACAAGAAAGAAATATAATGCTTTCATATGTCTCCTGATGATGAATCATTTGGCGATCTATTGACGTTAAAAAGATTTCTGTAAATGAATTTATATTTTAAAGGATACAAAGAAAGAGTTCAATGTTCACGTTTGAATTTGCTTTTGTTGTTCTAAGTGTTGTCGAATCTTTCCGTATGCCACAATACCACGAAGCCACATACAGATACCATAGCATGCCAATGATGTGCTTTTTACACGATCTAATTGGCATTCGTCCCGATTGAGCAATACTTCCAATCGCGCAAGCGTCGTCTCGCTTATACTATTGATATCAAATCCTATCAGTCGGCTCAAAAAATTATCGTTCATTAAACTCTTCGCATCGCTCCATTCAAATTTCGTTTTTGACGGCTGGAACAGTATACCTATACCTTCGAATACTGTCTCACACACTTTAGGTGGTCGAGCAAATGATCGTATTTCGGTAATTGAAGCTTTGGTTAGGACATTTAGTCCAGCTTTTGCAGCTAAAGACAAGAAAATACAATGTAATGAGAGAGAATAACATGCTCTAGGTGAACGTTCATGCCTTCTAAAGCAGCGAGTGTTGTTTCTTCATCTGTACTGGTTGATGCCATCGTTTTGTTGTGCTGTGCGATTGAAACAGTTGTACTTAAATATGAAGTTTGTGATTCATACTGACGCGATCGTCAACATTGCTCATGATGAAAGAACAGATATTCGCATCCATGAGTCATAACAAACAAAACACGGCACATGTGTTTTATGGTGAATCTTGAGATTGAAAGTAGTAGGATATATTGCACACGAATTCGCACGAACGTGCAAAGCACAACGAAAGAAACAAAAATACATAAAAATTAGTAAACAACACAAACGAGCTTGCTTCTTCACTTTCAACTGTCATTTCAGCACTCTTTCCATATTCGCCTCACATCCTCACCACCATAAATGAACAGCGCGAATATCTTGCGTCATACAATCAATAGGTATCACTTGTGACTGAACTAGACTTTTGACCTTTTCAAACACAGAAGTATTACGGATGTAAAATGATAACAAATGCAAATATGGCGTTTTCTCGGCGACATTTGATAATATATATTCGATAGTTTCTAACGAATAATTGTTCAATGATGATATGGTCAAACGCTCGACTCGGGGGAAAAGATGCACCCAAAACTTCATATCTTCAAATGAGCACGCCTGAATTGAAATTGTCACATCTTTGATTTGATTTTTAGTAAACATTGGAATGAGCATCTCATTCGGCTTCCAGAAGCTCGCGTTTGTCTCATTGAAACCAGTGTGATAAAGATATACTTTCTCAAGATTGGGTAGAGAAAGAATCAATTCGGTTAAATCTTTTAAATAACAATAAGAAACGTAAGTCTTGAGTTGTGTGATTCGTTCCATATGAAGAAAATTTCTGAGAAAACTTGGCGAGATATATGCCTCATCTTCAAACGGATTTTCTTGTTCAAAATTAAGTTGTGTGACGTTTGGAAAAGATGTTGACCCATTGGCAAATGTATTCTCGTTTTGTAACACAAGATGTTGTACTGATTGCATTTCTGTTTCTTCCCGCGTAGTGGAGCCAGTTACTTTTCGTCGTTCCAAATTTAATGTAAATTTCCTTTTCCTTAAAAATCAAAATTTCATCTATTCAAGTACAGTAATTAATCGATCAAGTCATACCTATACGGATTCGTTGAATATATGTATATTTCACAGCTATTCTCCACTTCCTTACTATGATAAGCAAAAAACCATTGTCGTTCCAACCAGAATGCGGATTGAAATTTTTCCATTAGTGGCAAATATATCGTTCCATGAATTGTATTTGTAAAAATATGTTGTTGGAGGTCGAATATTCTTAGATGTGGCATATAGGATGGTATAAGTGATTCCCATCGATTTGCGTTCAAGTAGGATAGATCTGCCGGTGTTCTAAGGTGTAACACTTGCACATGGTGGAAAACGAATTTAATCACAGGCTCAAAACTATCGAAATAAACATCTCCAAGATTCAAATAGACATGCGTTAGTTGGTTTGGAATGATTGAAGAAATTCTTCGTGAAGTATAAAGTTTTGATAGTTTGCGAATGGATAAATAATGAAGTTGGGGAACATTTGAAAGAAGAGGAACAATATCGTCAAGGCAAAACTCTTCGGCAACAATCAAATTTGTAAGAGAACTAAACATATTTGTTGCAAAAGGTATACGCTCTGAATAATGATATTTGTGTAAGGAGAATTTACAATATTTCAACGAAGGCAGACGAAATATTTGCTGATATAAGTAACTTCTGTCGCGAAGATAAGTTTCGAAAGCAAAGATTAGTGAAGAGAGATGGGGTAAAGTCGATAGATTACTGAAAAGCTGGTCTATAGCAGTCGATGGAAGGGAAGTGATGACAAATGTTTGAAGATGAATAAATTTTGGAATAATAGAAAGAGATGAGAGAAATAAGTTGATGATAAATTGATTGGAGAGATGAAGGGATTGAATTCGATGTGCATTTGGAAGAATAATGTGTTCGTAATATGCTGTAAAAGTTGGTTTTGATATTGCATTAAGATGTATTTTGATTGGTGAAATCGAATGAGTGAACAGATTTTGAAAACGTTGATTGAGATGCGAAAAAATTTCATAAGATTGGAAATAATCGAGATATTCGAAGATTTCATAAAATATTTCATTAGCTAGATCTTCGAGTTTCGCTTTTCCAAACATAATATCGATGTGAACTAACATGAAAAATAACTTGGTAAATACTAACAAAAATAGTGGTCCTGTATATGTGCGTAAAAGCAAATATTTGCCCTTTTTTCTTTACTTCTACTTGCACCATTCGGACGGCAGTCTGCAATTCTTCTTTTTTGTTGTTCTGTTGAAAACATGTGACTCTCCTCGAGAGAACAGGTGTAAAATTGCAAAAGTGTAAGAGATTCGTTAATATATGATATAGATTCAACTTCATCTCTTTGTCTATCGTTGATGATGTACAGAGTTTCTATGAAAGTACACTCTCTTGATAAATTGGACTTTTAGGTAATGGCTCAAAGCAAATTTAGTAACTCATCAAGGACATAAAAAGCTTATTTCTGTATTATTAATGCTGCAAGTCATTGTATCCTTCGAGATGGATCTTTAAAAAAGTTATAAAAAACAAGAGTATAGAGTTTATCTACCATTACTGGCTATCATCGTCACTGCTTTCTTCTTGATTATTCATCCGTGGAAATATGTCGTCCTTTAGATCGGAAGATGGCATATGTATATCAATATTTTCAATTCCGTAGTATAAATCAGCTAAAACACTATGTGCTTGTTCAATGAAATCTTGCAACTTCCTCGATGACAGACAATATGCTTGTTTCGTATCGTTACGGTGAAATTTGAAAATGTTTTTAACGACAGTTGTATTAGTATACAACAGATAATCAAAGTTCTCTCTTCCACTGGTACTATGAAACATTCCGCCACGTAATCTTAGTACTAGATGAAGTGTTGTCCCATTTCGTATGTCATATTCGCCTATTGTTGCATCAGCTCCTAACTGAACACCCGCAACGATTAAACGCTGTTGATCGGGAGGAATACCTTCTTTATCCTGTATTTTTTCTTTCAAATTCTGCACAGTATCTGATTGACAAACAGACAAATAAATCACAAGGTGAGTGAGCGTTTTCACACATATATCAAACTCAGCATTGACGTCTAGATTCTAAAAGTATAAATGAAGGAAATTTATGCAAATGAACACTACCTTACCTGGTTCGAGACAATATTAGCCATGATGACTGCATCTTCTTCGTATAATCGACACGACATAACTGTTTCGTTTACATGTAGGTGTGTGGCATTGAGCCAACTCTCTCGATATGGTTTTGCGAACTGTGGCACTCTACATAATCTGATTTCGATATTTTTCACGCTTAATCTTTGAAGTATTTTTGATTTGATAGTTTCGATTGTGTCCATTAACCGAACCGAGATTGTAAGTTGCCTGAGTCGAGCAGATTCATACTTCCCGAGCCACACAGTCACTGGACCATATGCAATGAATTGAAAGTGAGTATCAAAATGAGAAACAGGTGAGTTTAATTGAGCATCAGTCAACCCTGAGAGCGTATTTTCTCTCATTATACCAACTTGAGTCCATTTTTGTAGATACTTGGGTACATAGTTTTTCTTGAAGTGCTTGAGGACTTTACTGATCAAATCATGATCGAAAAACTCATCAGTGAGATGGTGTCCATAAGGGTCTATGAATGTAAATGAACGAGATTTCAACCGATCCTTGACATGACTGTTTTCTTGACAACGACGATTAAGCACATTTTCGAACTGAGTTGCTTGATTTTGAATGGCCTGTACTTTAGAAACTAAGTTTTCAAATGTGAATGAAGCAATACTAGCGGCAGCCATTCTGGGAGAAATGTGTAGAGTTATTCGTCTAAATTAAATGTAGCGCAAAAAAGTATGATTTTATAGGGCTTCTATATTGGAAAAAACCAGCTAACAAAAGTCAATAGTATGAATCATTCTTAAGTAGTTTTTTTCCGCAACCGTGTCGAAAATTTTTAAAAATGTACACAACACCTGCTGCTTTACTTTCTGTATCTTAAAAATACACCGTCTTTTGAGGTCGAAAATCTTTTTGAACTCACAGGGTGAAACAATTTCCAGATATTTATTTAGTTTTCAATAGACAGTATACACCGAGAATAACATCCGACTCTGATCATGTGCGAATAGCTATAGTGCCGTACAGATCTGTTCTCTAGAACCATGCTTTGATATCAAGATAAACTGTCTACCATCTAGAATATAAATCATTGAATTAAATGAATGATCCTTCTTGTTTAGTTGAAAAAAATCCTCGATGGTTTATCTCTTATTGATAATCTGTTATAATTGAATTTGAATAAAAATTCCAAATGAATATGCAAAACGAGCAACGCGATTATTTTTTCTCTTCGCACAAGAAAATGACTGGTATTAATGCCAACGATACGATTAACAGAACAAAGAGTAAAATACAATGAATGACGTCGATGGGAAAGATAATATTTCTATCTATAGTAACTAAATACGAACAACGAAAAATCGGTGATTTGCGTTGTTGGGGAAAATACCAATTTCAATCTATATTATATAAACGAATGTTTCTCTGCGAGAAATCTTTCATTTCGAACAACAAATGGAGCAAATAATCATCGAATTGTTGGATGTCAAAATCTTTATCTTGATTTTAACCACAATCGTTTTCATTGTATTTATAATCAAATCTTATCGATATTATTCTTATCCTTCTTATTTAAATCTTCATCAATTTCATCGATTGTACTGTCAACGAGCTGATGATAAGGAGAAATGTCCATTCATCCCTATCGATATGTTTCATAGGTGTGAAAATACTCATCAATATCATACGAAGTCTGATCTTGATTGTGTGTCAATCTATGAATATATCCAAGATTTTCTTTGTCAAAATAATGAATATATAAATCGATCAGGACCAGTCTGCCCGTTTGTGCCAGTAGCATTCAAACAAAAGACGATTTATTTTTTCATTTCAAATGATGAATATACGAACAAGACACGATTTATCCAAATGATCGAACGGTGTAAAAACGATTTTCTCTGTAAATTACAACCAGTTAATGCTACAAAAAGTAAATTGGTTTATAAATGTCTACTTATTTTGATTCGTTCGTTGAATATTCCGCATAATTTAATTGATGAAATTCAAACAGAACTTAAACCGACTTTCATCATTCAACATGGTCTTATGTTCGGTGAATTTCATCAATCATCGAATTCTAACGCAATCCGAAATGAGAATTTTTATCCATTTCGAACGAGAACGCCTTTATTAGTGATTCGATATATGGTTGCTAATGATCTTATCTTTCTCAATCAAAAACAGAAATATTCCGTGGAAGTTCGTTTGCAAATGATCAACAAATATCTAAATTTATACCATTCAGGTTTATTATATCGCTCGAAAGTAGAGCATTTGCAAAGTGCTCATGACATTCTTGCAGAATTGAATTTTTCAGTAAAAGAATCCATTGTTCCTATTACGGATATACATCTAAACTGAATGTTGATATATTTATCTATATGTTATATAATGAATAAATTCTCATAGATATCAATAGAAGTTAGAAAATTTCATGTGGAGATGTAATAAAAGGACTGAAAACTACCATTTTCGTTTTGTTTTTCGACATCTTTCTTATACAGTTGCATCTGAAGATAGTTTGATGAGAGTTAGCTGTTGGTTAAGTTGCACGGCATGTATACACACTTAAAACACTTGTGCATTTTCATCCGTACCGTAATGCATCATCCCACTGTTGTTGAAGGATCTAGATATATCAAGATGATTTGGAGGAAATAGTTATTGTTGAGGTATAAAAGCTTTTCTGTACCATGAAAGTGCTTCAGGATAATTATATAGATTACTTATGTATTTGAATCCTGGAAACGTCGACAATCCGTTTTGCAATATGATTGGGTAGGAGAAGAAAAATAGAAATGAAAAATTCACATTTTGTTTGGTTTGAATAGGATTCGATCAAGTTCGAAGAACCTATACGACCGGCGTTTGAAATATGAACAAAGGAAACGGGTGAAAGACGGGTCAATCCAGTTACTGGAGTATGTACTTTTTCTTTCCAACTATTCATTTTCTCATCAGAAAAACATTCCTTTCGATCAAAGAACCGTATATTTCTACTAAAAAACGAATGCCTTTCTCTTTCATTGCATTTGCTGTCGTTCTATTGATGGTAAAAAGTCACCAAATTGAATTTAGATGGCAATTGTTTGCGTGATTGTGTTTGAAACAATTGCCTATCGTGTGAAACTAGGTTCTATTTTAAAAAAAAGATCCCAATCTAAGTTCACGTTTATCCGTCATTGTCACTGTAACAAGTACAATCATGAATTTGATATGTCGCAATTTTATTTATTGGACTACAAGGAAATTAACTGATCGTAGTAAAAGCAGATTTATTATTCTCATGTTCTAAGTAGTAGAAGTACTTGTGATACCTGGTAGAACTTCATAAATATCAATCGAAATACGATGATTCATTGACAATCAAAGCTCACCCCTTTCAATTCGTCAATTTTTATCCTTCGTTGTTTTGTTTGGCGATTTTGAAAGGAAGGTTTATACGAAAGGACAACTGAGTCCATGGACCAGGAACGTTCTTACTGATTTCTACTTCTCATTTATTCTTTTATTGATATCAATTCTCTCACTTATATGCACGTTTCTTTCGTACGTCATTTGTTTGTGTATGTCACTTTTCCTGCACATTGCTCTTGTGCATGAACGGAAAAAAAGATTATGAATATGCGTACTGAATTAGCAAAACTTACTAATCATCTATCTAAGCTTTCTCATCTACTGATTCAGTCAAAAGGGATGACCATTTTCAAAAATTCTTATCACCATCAGCTATGGTCATCGAACCGAAGGACGACGGACGACACGCTAAAAGTCGCAAACACAGATGAAAGTGAAATGATTTTGTGATCATAACGAACTTACCTGTCAAACTACAGTCGGTTCAACCACCGACGGGGGAGCGGTTGCCCGGCGGGGTGGAACACGTGGTGGTGAGACAAGGACGAGTTTCGTTGGTCGAGATTTTCTTCGCGTTTACCGTCCAAATTCGTCGTCGTCGGTGAAGAACGAGAAGAAGAACGTGGGAGAGAAAAATATTCAGAAAAATCTTTGTCGAACGAGGCAAAAGCTCCGTTCATCTTCTTCGTCTTCAAGTTCGTGTTGGAAAAATGTCATTAGATTTCGGCACGTTCATTTTCGGTTAATTGACGAAAAAAGATGAGATTTGATTGCACTACAGCGTCTTCCAGGAAATTCAGATTTGCAACAGTTTCTCCTTGAAATATAACTATCCATTCACACCGTTCCACATTGATCATAATACCGCAATTTTCCAGCATGGAAATTGAGTGAAGATTTCTTATACGAATGTCCGTATAATGGAATTATCTGACAGTATTTTTCATATCAAGTATTATATATGGTTTTATTCTTCTTGGACTTGGTAGTGCATGATGGAAGCGATATCGAACTAAAGAGAATCAATAAAAATTCGCAGCTTTTATAGAGAAAATATAAATTCTGTTTATTCTCCAATAACAACAATGAATGAATTTGATATGAATTAAATTAAAAAATTTCATTTTTACTCAAATTAGTTTTCTCTTCTATATGATTTCAATCATTCTTTAACGTGCATATCTGGCAATAGTCACATTTCAAGATGGTTATGAAATATATATGAAATCTTGCATAATACTTTCATATGACTCACATTTGCTTGGAATGACAAAAGAAAGAAGTTTTGAAATTCAGTTGAAATTTATTTTTTTCATGGATACTACAAGTTTCAATCATGCAATCTTTGAACGTAAAGTTGGATTACTTATTGGAAATCAAAATTATCGTGCACACGAAGATCAACTTTTTCATACGATCAATGATGTCAATGATATTAGTCATACTTTACGAACGATGAATTTTCATGTGAGAAAACATTATGATTTATGTAATTCAGAAATGAAGAATGTTTTTTCTGAGTTTTCAAAAACAATACGCAATGGCGATTTGATTATATTCTATTTTTCTGGTCATGGTTGTGAAATGAATGGAAAGAATTATTTATTACCGATTGATGATGAATTGATTGCAAAGGAACAAGGTATTGAAAATTCTGTCATTCATACTGAACAGATTCTTTGTCAATGGTCACAACAATTTCCATCGTCTATTATCATATTTATATTAGATTGTTGTCGATTACCATATTCCCACCGACATAGAAAAAGACGAAATAACGGTAGGAAATATAAATGAGTAATGTCTCTTCTAAATATATAATATGTGTTTAGTTAAATACGAAAATAATGCTTCAGAAGATACAAAAGTACCAAAAGGTACATATGTTGTATTCGCTTGTAGTCAATATCAAATTGCTTCGGATGGTTTATTGATTGAAAGAAATGGATTGTATGCGAAACATTTATTGAAACATCTGACAAAACCAAATAAAGATTTACGACAATTATTCCGAAGTGTAAACAATGGTGTTTGTATTGAAAGTAAACAAAGGCAAAAACCAACACGTTATGATGGTCTAATCGATTTTGAACCAATTTATTTAATTGATAGGCCATTAAATTCAAATGATGGCAAAAAGAAAACGAAGGTCGAAGAAGGATTACTTGTAAAATAAACAGAACAGAATAAGCGTGACAAATATTTATTGAGTAATTGCATTGATTACAAAATTATCTGTTTTGTTTCGTATATTGTTCAATTGATTTGACGCGATATTTTTTGTTTGGATAGGTCGAATACGAGTATTCCATAATCCGTTAAGATTGAAACAGGCTAAAACACGATCACGCAAGATTTGACGGAAGAGTTTGCTTGTCAGTGTATTGAAGAAGAAACTCTTAGCGAAATTTAAATAGAAAATTAAGCTCGATACTTGTAAGAGCAATGACTCGAGAGCAAGTCGTTGATTGTCTTTGACGAGATTCTTTGAGAGTATTGAGTAAAATGGAACTGGTTAACACTTGAACGAGTACAATGGTAATGAAATGAGTATCGATTCGATTTCGTAATTGATTCCGTTGTTGTGCACCTTGAACGATCAAACGTCGACGACTTGCTCGCATATTGTAGAACGTGACAAGACCAAATGTGAGCATGATACTTTGTGGAACTAAACTTGTCCAGATAATATTGTAGACTGACATAAAAATTGAGTAGTTTCCGGGTAGTGGTGCACATTTCGATCGTAAATCATAATAATAGAGCTGATGTGCAGTAGTAAAGGTGTAAAGAAGAATTGGCGCACATGTCAAACGATGTGCTACTTTTATTTGACTAAACGAGCGAAGACGTGTACTTTGTGATGTTGCTAAGCATCGATCCAATGCAGCGAATACCAAATAACCGAGAGAAATGGATGGTAATGTAAATCCAATAAAAGTACGCATTTTGCAGTAAAGAGACGATGTAAGAATCAAAGTGTTACCAAAATAATCACTCGCCATTTTCGTCGGCAAAAGAGAATTGAAAAGGAAAAAATCTGCTATAGTTGACATGAGGAAATTCCAACCACATGAATTTTGTCTCATTTGTTTAGATGAGAATGTTATAAAATTGCATAAGCATCCTATATTGCCAAGAATGAGTAAAATAAAACTGCCGTACAGTGCTAAGTCACTTGTTATTCGGTTAATATATCCAACGTCCATGATTTTTATCTGTATGAGGAAAATAATGGATATCAAATGAGAAAAATCAAATTATAAAATATTCGCGAAAAAGAGTATTTATTCTATTTTGACTCGATGAGTATTTTGACATTTGATAATAAAAAATTTTTCTTTAGAAATTTTCTGTTCTTACGTACTTAGATAAGATGCTAACTATTAAACTATCTATATGAATTGTTTATTATTATTAGAGTGGTGTCGAGTATCGACATATTCATTTTAAAAGATCTTTACTCGTTTTTAGATCTTATATTCTGTAGACAATGTATGATTTTCTCAATTCTCAGACAGAAAATATCAACTCTGTCATTATCTGCATCCTCAAAAAAAAATGTTTTCATGTTTTTTATACGCAGGAAAATACATCCTGTCACAGTTCAATTAATTCTTCAAAGAGTCGTTTTGATAATTTCTTTCATTTTCATTACAGTGTGAGAATATCAAAACAAATTATTTTCAATAGTTTTGCTATTAGAAAACATATACTTCTACACAAGATTTTTGTTTAGGAAAAAAACAACGCATTCTATTTCAAAGTACTTCATAATTGATTGTACCGATATGATGTGATAATCATGATTCTAATCAGTTTAGAAAGATTTATTTAACCGAGATAAATGTACAGATGTATTCAAAAGAACAACGTGCGTCCTTGTTGATACGGACACAATCAAAGTGTCAGCTACTGTCGTATGTGATATAATCATGAATGTGAGTTCATATTTAGTAAATCAATCTTCAAATTATTCTGTCACATTACATGATGTTCTGTAGATGAAAGAAAGAATTATATGAAAGAAAAAAATATGCTTGTTTGTATAACATTGATTCAAACAATAAAAGAATCATGATTCAGCGCAACTTTAGGTGATGAATAAATTTAACTGTACTATTGTTTAGTTTTATCAGCACTGGCAAGTTTTATATTCGTCATCATCGTTCTAGAACTAAATCAGAGAGAGAATGAGAAAGATGTTTCTAGCAAATGATAATTGATCTAATCACACTTTTACTTCTTTCTTTAAACTTGATTCGTATCTGTTAGTTATTAAAATAGTATAGAACAGATTTTTAGGCTGAATTGCATACAGAAGAAATGCCAAATTTAATACGACTCAATGGCCCATGTTTTATTTTCCATACAAAAAATTCTAATTTTAGATAAAAACTATCCAGATATTTCTTTCCTATCTATCAAGGGATCGTTTCAAACGAAAAAGAGAAACAATCAAAAAAATAAATATAAAAATTAAATACCAATCATTATTATACAGAGAAAAAATTAGAGCGACACAGAAATTCGAAAAAAATACTATTTTCTTTTTTGTGATATACATTGAATTTCTACTTTATTTAACACATGTGTACTTCTTGTTTGTTGAAAAAGGAGTTACAATTCATTAACAAAAAAATCCTCACATAATTGATCGTAAACCGTGGTTCTAATTCGTATCTGAACAATATGTTTCCTTAATTACATTACATTTACAACGAAAACAAAATCCATTACTCACAATTGTGCCATATGACACATAACATTTTCATATTATTATTTTAAACGAGAACAAAAGTATAGGAAAGGTTATTTTTAATTTTTCTCGAACAGTGAAAACTTTTTTCGAAATGAAAACTAAAACATACACACAGGTATATTTACACCTTCTCTTTGTTCTGGTGATCTAAAGAAATCTCGTTGTCTAGCCGTTGTCACCTTGTCGACAGTCATTATCAACGAATTCCATGGTGCTTAATTTCAATTTTGCTTGATTCCTTAAATATGTATGAGGATATATAAAAAAAATATTTATTGAGTCATGTTAAACTTGATTAATTCTTTCATCTTTTATGAAAAAGAACACATTTTACGATTAAAAAAGTTAGTGAGAAAAAACGCTGAGTATTATTCTCACGCAGAACAAAGAGAGTATAGAAAAGGACGCAATTCTTTTGTATACTAAAATAAAACGTGGATAGTGTTGTTTTACCTTGAAGTTTATTCGACATCATAGGATACGTTTCTCAGTAAAAGCACTTTATTTCGTAGAAAATGGTCGGTATAGAATGATAACTAAAAAAATTAATCTTTGTCGTAATACTATTAGAAGATTTTTCTATTTTAGATAAACAATTAAAATGTAAACAGATAAAATATTTCGATCACTGTAACTATAAAGCAATTAAGAATACATAATTTTCATTTATTTGTAAAATAGATTTTGTGAGGATTACAAAGATCATGAATTTCTCGAAAAAAATGGATATGGTATCGTATTTGGAGCAATAGAAAAGGATTCCGATTGTCCAGTCGCAATCAAATGTGTCAAACTCAAAGCGTATATATACAAGTAACGCGGCCTAGTAGCCGCTAAACCCTCTACTGAAAGGATAGTATTAGAGCGCCACTATATCCATCCAAAGAGAGAAAAATATTATTTCAGTTGAACGATCTGATCATTTGATAATTTGTCAGAATGTTTTACCTAGACCAATTTCGCTTCCTGAAGTCTTCTGAGATTATAACGCCTAGTCGTTTGTCGGCCTCTCCCCGGTCAACCACTCACCGCTAGCCGTTGGTACCTAATAACTGTTTAATGATATTTTCATATCAAAAAGTACCTCGTTCTTGTTGAGTCCGTCTCTAGCAAGGTTCCCGAAATTCTTCACAACTTCGTGACCTACAGTATATTCTTTATCGTGATTTTTAGTTGAATGAGTTGGCGATCTACATATTTTTTCTCGCAGCTCGAAAAGACGTTATATATATACTATATACCGTAGAAAAATTATGGACACTATGCGACAGTCTTATAAGTCTCACTTTTCAACTAATTTTCAAAAGAAACAACTAGTCGTTCGTCGGCCTCCGTTCGGTTGGCCACTCACGGCTAGCTGTTCCCATGCGTACTCATTTTACTATCTTAACTTCATTCGGACGAAGACGCGTTCCGAAAATGAGCACATTTCGGAAAATCAATTCATAATCAAAAACTTAGA